AATTAGCGCTTCCAGTCAGAGATTGAGCATGCACCGCTTTATTGTATTTCCAGACTTGCTTTCGGCACAATTTACAGTGCGTGCTACTCTGTTTTTTGTCAGACTTGAAATAGCCGAAATACCTTCACACTACAGAACTTCTATGGCTCTTCCGTTCAACAATCTCTCCGGCATTGGAACCATCATCACCTGTTTTCTCTTTGGTAACCTTCGGTCACGCTCTCGGTTGATTTTTCTCTAGTCGGCACACTCATTTCCTCCATTACCCGGGCGGGCCTGCGGCTGGCTGCTTCCCAAACAAATACACATGTGCGGCTTGGCACTTGTGCTGTATGTAACAAGTCATGTGACGTGACGCTGCGGCTGTGATTGGTTCGGCTCTGCGCTACTTAATTTGGATTGGCTGTTCTTTTTTTTAAGAGGACAAGAGCGGCGAGGTCTATCGCAATAGTTAAATTTTTCTATCGAGAAAAAGTTATTTCGCAATACATATCGTTATCGTTCTATCGCCCAGCTCTAGTTTTACTGTAAGACTACAGATTTCATAACGTAAACATTGTGTTTTATTAAATAAGATTCAAACTGTCAACAGAGACTAAAAAATGTTGACTAACATCATAGTTCACGGAAGCCAAGGAGCATTTTCCCATAAATAGTCATCTTTTATGTACAGTGTATTGCCACAACCAAAGTAATGGTGTTTATTAATTAAATAAATTGGTAAAGGGTAATAAAAACAACATTTTTTTGTTACGGCAAAATAAAGTCTCAGATAAACTGCCTGTTTTATCTCACAGACATACTGATTCATCTTGCTACGATTCTGGCAACATTGCAGAAGCAATAAAAAAGCAGAATGAAGTTCAAGGTAGACTGGGGTAACCAGCAACAATGGCTTTCTTTGTTTCAGGGCTTCAGCCATTAAGGTGACCTGCTCTGGCAAGATTGTCGGATCAAAAAACAAGCGCAAATGCACCCACCAACACATACACACAGACACACAGATACACACGCACCTCTGTAGCTAAAGCCACGGTGATCTTAGAAAAACACACTGAGAAAATGGCAAAACAAAAGCAGAGTGACACACACAGCTGCCCAAACCAAGCGCTGAGGAGAATGGCATTCAGGCCAATGTGTGTCTGTTTGTGTGTGTGAACTAGATCATTATCTTAAAGCAGTGCAACAGGATTAGTCTTTACTGTGGAAAAGTCAACACACACACAGAATGCACACGTCCAACACACAACACCATTCATTTCGATTAATGAGACAGAAAAAAACGTGACGAATGGATATCAAATATCATTCATGATATAGTCTCGTCACAAAAAATGCCCAGTGCTGTGCAAAATACACAATGAAAACACAAACTTGAGTAAAACAACAAGATGGATTACACCGGCTGGGAGAAGATTAGGTGTTGTGTGTAAGATGAGTGTATTCCTCGGATAAAACCAACCGTAATTCCTTCCTTTCACCGGGCTTATGAATTATAGCGTTGCAGAGAGCCAGGAAATTGTGAATCATGCCAAATCGGTGGTGAAATGTGAGTCGCATATGTCAAAGCTGGTGTGTGTGTGTGCGTGAGTGCCTGTGCAGAGAACAAATACCCGAAGTGTCCCTCCTCTCCTCATCTATCATTCTCGTTCTGTGTCCCACTCAAAGAGACACAAATTAAAACTCGTAACCTACTTACAGCAGTTTGTGAAGCGTAAAGATTCTTCTACCTGTGCAGGTCAAAGGTCATAATAGAGAATTTCAGTGGAAACCACGTCTGTTAGCTCATGTGGGTCTTTGTTGCTGGGAGGAATTTCTATTATGACTATTAAAAATGGTTCTGATAAAGACAGTTAATGGCTTACTCATAATCTCAGTTTTTCCAATACGGCATTCCTGGGCTGAACCACATCCTGACCACAAGTTTAAAAAAATGCAAACAAACATTGACTTTTTTTAAAAAAACACAATTTCATTCAAAAAAAGTGCAGCAATATATTTTTTGGATGTTTTAAATATTAAATTAAGAGGAAAAAGTGTATCAACCTCATACAAAAATATCCTGGCACATGGCAATAACATCACTTTTTTTTAATTAAAATTAACTTACAATATGAATACTTTGTCAAAATGACCCTTTGGCATGGTGCCTGGTGAGTCAATCTAATCAGGCTGGGCCAAATATCCTGAGCATAACATGTGCCAAACTGTGGGCTATAGCTGCCTGTAGGGTGTTATGTACAAATTGAAAAATCTACATTTTAATTACACAGCCCAAGGTGTCTAACTAATTTAAAAATAAAAGACAGATTTTAATGACTGTGTTTAGTTTGATTATTTTAGCTGGGCTCCAAATGATCTCAGCTGGATGCACTGTATACATTAAGGTTTAGTTAGTGGATGAAGTTATCACCTTTCTTATCCTTTTACTTATGATGTACTGGTTCCTTGACTTGAGAACATGTCGGTAAGGCACAATAGCTTTAGCAGCTAAGGACGTTTAATGGTGTCGTCTTCTTTTATATTCAGAGTAGTACTGACACACACAATAGACTGTGTATGAAAAATAAAAGTCGCTTCAAGGTCTGAAAAGGGAAGCCAATGCAGAAGAGTCTAACCAATACGGGATTTTTAAGACCAATTTCGACTGACATTTGGTGATTAAAAAAATCTTATATTCTGATATTGCCAATATTTTTTTCTTTCAGACACACGAGACATACACAGATTTCTCTAATATTTGTAACGTGTACTATTTATTTGTAACGTGTATTTACTCGTGTACACTCTGACCGACTCCGCTCAGATCAGCTGGTTGTTGTGTAGGTAACGTTCCAAACCCAGTTTCGGAACAGAAAAATTGTAGAGTGCCATCTGGTGGACAAACCATGCATCATCAACACTCATAACATCAGTGAAGGGCGTTTCTCTGATTTCTTTTTCTTTTTTCCCCATCAGTCTTTATAAACGGCAATACCAAGAGTTCAATAAATAACTAATAATGGCTGAAAATATCGGCCCACCAATAAATCGGTCGGGCTCCACTTAAGCCTGCATTCTTTCTAAAGGCCAGCAGGCTGCAAATTTTTCTAACTATATAACTGCCCCAATGTGTGATCTCATTAACAGTTTCTTAATGAGTTTATGAGCTCCATCACTACTTTTAAAATCATACTGAATACATTAGTGTCAAAAAAAGAGGCTAAAACCGACTCACTGTGTACCTGTCGATCACAAGTTGTTAACCAATGAGTGTGTGGTGTCCCTGAGTCCACTTCTCATTTGTTACATCTTAATACCAAGATGATACTGGTGAAAATACTCAGCTCGAAGCTTCACAGCAGAACTTCACTAACCCGCCATCGCCATCTAAAATACAGTCTATAAAATGGACACAGCTGGAGAGCCTTATCAGTATAACAAGTGGATGTAACACCTTGTAGACATAGTCCATAGTCTAGTATGATCAATGTCAAACACTCAGAAGCAAATAATGGTAAATGAGCCTTTATGTACAATTTATTATTATTATTATTATCATTATTATATATTAGTAATACTTTTTTTGTAGATAGGTTACCACTTTATGTTTGGGTTTATGATTATTCCTGTGCCTGTGTGTAAACAGCAAGAATAACGTGTATGTATAAACTCAAAACCTTCCTTCACCCTCAAAGGATTACTCATCCATTTCCACATGGGCGCCAGCATCCAGACTGACTGTAGTTCCTGCTGATGTTGCTCAGCGAACCAATAAGCACAGCCAGCGACGGGCCCGCCTGAGATCACCGCCTTAGAACAAAGAGTCACAGCCTCTGTCAACAAGCTTGCTTCATTGACTCCCGCATCGGTGTGCAACAAACACAAACAACGACAGCTCCGGACCAACAAGAAGTGAGTGAGATCTCTTTGTTAGCAGCTGGAGAAATCACCGTAACTTAGTTCTCACACAACACACATTTGCACAAAACAGCAAGTCAACAAGTGGCATTGCGCCCCCCCCACTCCCGCCCCATGCAAAACAGGGACCATTCGTTCGCCATTCTGGGCACAGAGCCAAGCATCCAGATTCTTTGGAGCACGCCACCCGTTGCCAACCTGGGGGCGCCCACTTTGTCGGCCGTACAGCTGCTGCTGTTCAAACGGGGTGGCATGCTCTCACAAACAGCTCCTGTTCCAGGATTTAAAGCAGTCACATCTCACTCGTTAAAGATCCAAAACACACAACAGATGAAAATCACATTCATATTAGCACCCTAATGCACACAAAAAGCAACACAGATGCACATGTGAATGCATACACACACAGACACACACGCACATACAGAGCGTACCCCTCCTCCTCATTTTATGGCTTGTTTTCGACATCAGCGGGAATTGAGTCGTGCTGAAAGAGAATTGACCATTGTGCTGACAGGAATACGCTCTCACCCTCAGCTGCACTACTCCAGCCAGCGCTGGGGACTGTAACAGAATTGTGCAACAGCTTTTGTGTTGATCACTGCATGCACAACTGCAAAACGGGAGACCTAAGTTCACACTGCATTTCCCATCACTCACAGATCTAACAAGTCCCCCCGAAGAGCGGGTTTATCTTTGGGAAGATCTGGCATCTGTTTGATTTAAATAACAGTTTACGAGATTTATGTGCATTTTCAGGCAGAAGAGTACAATTTACTGCTGCAGGAACTGTGACAGATCCACAAACTGTGGCTCAACATTTCAGCTTTGGTCATGGAAATAAGACTGAAGATTACAGCCTGCAAGTTTCTGCATCAACAACATGAAAACACACACACACACACACACACACACAAGAAATGCAATCAAAATCACAGCATCAAAAAAAGTTGTTATTCAGCCACAAGCATTCCTCAGTCACTCCCTCGCTATAAAAAGGATGAACACAATACCCCACACACACACTTCCCCTATGTTAGAAACAGTGTGCTCATCCAAGAGCTGAACTGGCCTTTTCTTCCTCGCACAATCTTTATTTGGGACCACGTGACAGAAAAGCATTCAAGTTGGATTGCAAGGCAATCAGATCATCGCTTGTTAGGCCTACATCAGGACTGCAGATTTGGACACCGTCACAACTTACTATCTTGACTCTAATGCAACAAGAAGTGCGCGTGATCTCTTTTATAATAGCTCTTAAAACAATAACACCCTTGAGCAGAATGAGTGCACATAGAGACGATCGATTTTAAACTGTGTAACATGCATTAATATATGAATGAGAGAAAAAAAACAACAACAAAAAAAACCTAAATGTAATTAAATCTTTAACCAAACGTGCAATTAAATGCCGGTTGCACAGAATTATCTGTAAGAAATGTCACATTCACATACATATATGTATAAAATATAAGGCGGCGAGCATGCAAAAACCTCGGGCCGGTTATTTACATCAGTCTAAAACGCTGCAGTCAGAGCGTGTTTGTTTGCCTCATCTTACCCACCCACTAGCCCACATAAACATTGCGCAGGCCCCATCAAGCCCTTTGTCCTATATATCTGATGTCGCCAAATGTCATGACAGTCCGTTATATGCTTCAATATGCAAACGACTTATTATAGCAATAACAACATAATGCATTTTTTTTTAAATCCCAGCCGGTTAAATCTCCCGTCCGCGGCGGCGGGAACGGCGGCGGTGACACCGTTAAATCCGCTCCGTGCAGGAAGCGGTTAAACGCTGCAAAACACCGCACAACAACAACAGTGAAGCGTCGCCTGCCGGTCGGACCCACGTACCTTCAGGCTGGACTTGAGTGGTCCTTTGGCTGCGGTGTGGTTGAAGCCCGAGGCTATCTCCTCCTCGGAGAACTCCTTGAGGCTCCCGTCTTGCATGAGCACGGTGTAGACGCTTCGCCGGGCTCCCGCGACCGACAAGTCTCTGTTTTCCTGCTTGACAGCCTGGACCACTCCTGTCACCGGGGCACCGTCCCCCGTCGGACTCGGCGCATAAACGCGGCTGCCGAGGACCGAGCGCTTCACCAGGCGCCTCGTGTGCATCTCTAAAAACTGTTTCACTGTATTCAAAGCCGGCGAGCCGGTAAAATTAAATCATTAACCGTCGAATTATAGCCGGTAAACAGCGTCGTGAAAAATACAAAACTGCAGCGGGTAGACTACGCGCTCCAACAGCCCTGACAAAATGTTAGAAAGGGGCAACATACTCGGAGGAGGGGGAAACTCCAAACAGCGTCCGGAATGCACCGCGCACAAGCACCCCGTAAAAAAAGAAACAAGAAACCGACCAGCTCTGAATTAGTAGCCGACGACTACGATTCATTCGCCGCTAAACAACCTCTACATCCAACCGGCTACCAATCTTCCTCCGTTCGACCTGTTTGTTTTCCTCTCTGCTCCCTGCGAGCTGAGGGGGCGGCGGGAAAACGCGGACTAATCGCCGTAGTCGTGAGCCGAGACGACACTGGTACACGATTAAGTAAAAATGGTGGCTAATACAAGGCAAACAGCTTGAGCATAGAAGCACGGGAGCCAGCACGTCGAATTTTTCCGCCCCACACGGCTCTGTACCCCGACACCTCGCCGTATGTGTTACAAAAGACTGAAATTTGACCGTTAACCGGCTCCGGTTCCAACTACTGCCGCATCCAGTCCGCCGTCACCTCATACCGAGCGGGGACTCTACCGGCGGAATGCTGCCTGTAAACATGTGCGGTCCGGCGGCCACGGCGGTCTCTAATTGGTCGGCGCTGCACACGCCTCCACAAGCCCCCACCGCTCCCCTTCTCCTCCGAAAGAAGGTAATGCAACCGGGGAGGATGCTCCATTGAAAACAATGACGCAAGGAGAGATTGGAAACGAGAAGGGAGGGGGTTATGGCAGAGGGAAGAAAGGAAAAAGGCGGGAATTTAGGCTGTGGAAGAGAGAAGATTTGGACCAGGCAGCAAAGCTTCATGCTTTAACCTACTTGTACAGCCTACTTTTCAGGTGCCGTGGGACCTCTGAATTACTATGATCTGGTTAAAAATAAATAAATTAAATGAGCTGAACTGGTCTGCCTTTTTGCTTATAAAAACAACAGGTTATTTCCCTTTTTTTAACATGCCAGTTTTGCTTTGGTAAAACTGGTTGTTAAACATAAGGTCCGGGGGCCATAATCGCCCTGGCAAAGACTTCAACCGGTCCCACCGTTTTAGAACAAATAAAGGAGGGTATAACTTTTTTCACTCTTAAATATATTTTCATAACTTTTACTGCTGTTTTGTTTTTTATAGATGGATAGATAGATACAATGGCATTGTTTTTATCATTTTGCATCTTTATAACAGCACAGTGGATTTTACACCAAGTGCAAACTTTCACTTTGAATTCAAGGGGTTGCATTCATACAGTCATTTTCAGATGCTCAAAAGTAACTGGAGAGTTAACCAAAGGACCTATGACATTGATGATGTTTTGGCTACTGATAGAAGTAGCAGGATAAACAGCAGGATGTGAAGTGTACAGGGCTACACTCTCCAGATAATGTCTCAAAGCATGCTGCAAAAGCAACCCAAAAGTTTCTCAAATCAAAGAAACTGGATATTTTTCAGTGGCCAGGTCAGTCACCTAATCCCAGCCCAATAGAGCATGCTTTTCAGTCCCTGAAGAAAAAACTGAAACCAGAGAGAAACCCACAAACAAGCAAAGAGGCAATACAAATAAAAAATTGTGCTGTTGTATACTAATGGACCTAATTGTACAGAACATCGTAGAGCAGGGATGTCAAACTCATTTTACATACTGGATCATATAAAGCCCATTGTCATCTTAATTGGGCCTGACCAGTGAAACTTGCTTTTTAGTCAGTGCAAAGAAGTTGATTAAAATGATTAAAATATAGTTAAAAGACCAAAATTTTCCAAAGATGTCCAATAGGCCAGATTGAAGGCTTTGTTGGGTCAATTCTGACCCCTGGGCCTTATTTTTGACAACCCTGCAATAGAGCCTGAAAAGGAGGAAAAGGAGTAGAAGAAGCAGAAAGACACAAAGAAACGAAAGGGGAGCAGAGGAGGACAGGAAGGGGACAACAACAGGTGTGAGGACCCTTCGATTAAACAGCATTATGCTTATAGGAAGAAGGAAAAAAAAAACTTAACATATTTAGGGATGAATTTATATCATCATAAATACATTTTAATTTTCCAAGGATAGACAGCGCCCTCCATAACATTTTAGAACTGTAAGAAAAAAGTCAGCAGGGTCTTATTAAACACTTGTGCCCAGGGGTCTCTAACTTGATGACCGGGGTAGCCCCCTTCCTTCAAATAATCTTAAAGCCGCTTCAGAGGGCTGTTAACCCTCATATAGCTGGCATCACGTACTAAATGAGACATTTAAAAGTGTGATTTCACAAGCTATCGCTCTCTGACAACCAAAAAAGTCACGGGATAAATCTCTCTCTTGAAAAGAAAGTTCAGTTTGATAAATCAAGTGTGCCAGCACGCTGATTCATCGTAATTATCACCCAGCGTGGCAGAGAAAATACACCAAAGAATGTTATCGCAGAAACAAATGACCTAATTAATGTCAAACGTTAATGTTTTTGGAAACTCTTACCCAGCGTACAATCCTTCTACAAGACATCGCCCCAGAGAATTAAAAGACAAAATGGCACCATTTATTATACTTATATATTTAATAGAACAATTCATGTCATAAAATATTTACATGCACAGAATGGAAATTGGACAGAGTGGAGTGACAGATGTGGCTATAACCGCCAAACCAGGCTTTGCCCTTTGATCAAAGGCGGGTGTCACCATAGAGTTGTCTGATGGTCGTGAGCGGGAGGAGGGGGAGGAGAAGGGAGGGGGCGGGGGGCAAATCATCTCATTTAGTGAGGGAGCTTCTCCAAAC